TTCCTGGTGTCCAGCATGCCCAGGCGTCCCTCTCCCGGGTGCCATGCCGTCTGGCTGCCCCGTCACCCCAGCACCGCGTGTTCTGGCACCCTGCTCCCCTGGCGCTGTGCTCCCCAGACACCCCATCCTTCGGGCAGCCCTCTCCTTGGGCCAGCCCCCGGGCACCCCGCGTCCCCGGCACCTCACTTCTTGGGCACCAGGCGCTCTGGTGCCTCACTTCCCAGACACCGTGCTCCCCTGGGGCCTCGCTCTGTGGGTGCTGCACTTCCCGAGCACTTGGGATGCTGGGTGCCCCACTCCCCAGGCACCCCACTGCGTGGGTACTGAGTTCCCCAAGCACTGAGCTCCCCAGGCAACCCACTGCATGGGTGCTTCACTCCCTGGGTACACTGCTCCCTGGGTGCTGACCTCCCTGGACATCCCGCTCCCCAGGCACCCCACTGTGTGGGTGCCCCGCTCCCCAAGTGCTGAGCTCCCTGGGCACCACCCTCCCTGGGAGCTAAGCTTCCCGGGCACCCCACTGTGTGGCTGCCCCACTCCCTGGGCACCCTGCTCCCTGGGTGCTGAGCTCCCCGGGCACCTCACTGCACGGGTGCTCCATTCCCTGGGCATTGAGCTCTCTGGGCACCCCACTGCCTGGGTGCCCACTCCCCAAGCACCTCACTCCCCAGGTGCTGAGCTCCCTGGGCACCCCACTGCATGGGTGCCGAGTTCCCCGAGCACCGAGCTCCCCAGGCACCCTACTGCATGGGTGCCCCACTCCCCAGGCAACCTGCTCCCCAGGCACTGAGATCCCTGGGCACCCCATGCCGTGGGTGCCCCACTCCCCAGGCACCCCGCTCCAAGGGTGCTGAGCTCCCAGGGCACCCGACTGCATGGGCACCCCATTCCCTGGGTAGCCCGCTCCCTGGGCACTGAGCTCCCCGGGGCACCCCGCTCCCGGCTGCCTGCCCCACCGCCGGCTGGCTGCGGCCGAGCCACCCCGGCTGTGCCGTCAGCACGGCTGCCCCGTCCTCCCGCAGTGACACGCTGAACATCGTGGCCTCCGACCACCGGCCCTTCAGCACCAAGCAGAAAGCCATGGGCAAGGAGGACTTCACCAAGATCCCCCACGGCGTCAGTGGGGTGCAGGACCGCATGAACATCATCTGGGAGCGAGGCGTGGTACGGGGTCCCGCGCCCTCCCCCGCCCACAGGCGCCCCCGGGGTGGGGGTGGGACGGGGCTGCCCCCCGGCTCGGGGCGCTCGGCAGTGGGGCGGCTTGGGCTGAGCTGGCCCCAGCTTTGGGGCGGGAGGGCCCTTTCCCCGGGTCCCACGGGACGTCCCATGGGGTGTTGGCCCTCCGGCTTGGGGGCGGGCAAGGTGCTCCCCAGTGCAGCCCAGTGGGTCCCAGTAAGGGGCACGGCCCCAGCAGCACCCCTCGAGGTGTTTGGGGGGTTCGGGGCAGGCAGCACAGAGCGCGAGGGACGGGGCGCAGGTGGCTGGGCAGCGCCGCAGGGCTGGGGCAGGATGTGGCCCGGCACATCCTCACCCCCCAGCTCCGGTGACAGGTCGGGGGCAAGATGGATGAGAACCGCTTTGTGGCCGTGACCAGCTCCAACGCCGCCAAGATCCACAACCTGTACCCCCGCAAGGGCCGGATCATCCCTGGAGCCGACGCCGATGTCGTGGTCTGGGACCCCGAGGCCACCAAGTAGGTGCAGCCGGGGCGGGGGCCGGCGAGGGGGCTCCCCGTGCTGCCAGGTGCCCGCTCACCACCCCATCCCCCCACCCAGGACCATCTCGGCCAGCACCCAGGTGCAGGGGGGGGACATCAACCTGTACGAGAACATGCGGTGCCACGGGGTGCCCCTGGTCACCATCAGCCGCGGACGCGTGGTCTACGAGAACGGCGTCTTCATGTGCGCCGAGGGCACCGGCAAGTTCTGCCCGCTCCGCTCCTTCCCGGACTCCGTCTACAAGAAGCTGGTGCAGCGGGAGAAGGTAAAGGGGTGGTGGGGGCTGTGCCGGCACGGTGCCACGGCGTGGGGCAGGGCTGTGCCGTGCCTGGCTCCCAGCCGCCGGAGGGGATGAGGGAGGTGGTGGCCACAGTGGTCCCAGCGCCACGGGTTGGTGCTGCTGATGCTGGGAGGATGGGTCTGTGCCGCCTGGTGCCGTGCCGCCCCGGTGCCGCGCCATGCCGTGGTCGGTACTGCCCTGGAGCATCGCGTGGCGGGAGCGCGGTGTGCGGCGTGCCAGGGATGGGGGTGGGTGGCAGCGGCGGTGGTGTCCCTGCTGGTGGGCGTACAGGGGAGGACGCCCAGCTCCTGCCCTTCCCTCGCCCTTGCCCGCGTGCTGGTGATGCAGAGGGTTTGGGGGCGGTCACCCTGCGCGCTGCTGTGGCCCGCGGTCACCCCGACATGTGCGAGGCACGTGCCGAGCGTCGGGAGCCCGCCGCGCCCCGCTGTCCTGGGCTCTTTGGCCTTTGTTGGCTCCCCTCTGTGCAGCCCCCCGAGGTGGTCCCCAGCTCACGGTGGCCCCACGTGCAGTGGGGCAGGGACAGGGACACGCGTGGCTGGGACAGGAGGGGACCCCGGGGCTGCAGGGCAGGTCTCGCCCACGCTCGGCGGGGCTGCAGAAGCCCCCTCCTCCTCTCTGCCCCCGCCATTGCCCCCTTGCCACAGCACCAGCCCTGCATCCCATCGCTGACCCGCTGTGGGCGAGGGGCACGGCCACTGCCCCGCTGTCCCCCTCTGCACTTGCGGGTCCCGGGGCTGTCCCGGCGTGACACCCAGGAGCTCCAGCAGACCCCGGCACTGCAGACCCCTCCGTGCCCCTGCGCCTTTCGCCTGTGGGGGATGCGCTGGGGGGCTCGACGTGGTACTGACGCTGCGAGGGAAGGGGACGGCGGGGGGTCCTGGCGCTGTCCCGCGGAGCTGGGAGCCGATGCCCGGCGCCGGGGGGCCCGGCTGTCGCTGTGTGAGGCCGGGGGGGCGCGGGGGAGGGGCGGGGTGCT